GAAATAATGAAACTTATGGCCTGATTTAAGACATTGCATATTTAGCCATTATCATTATTTTACTGAGGAAGTGAAGACAGAAGACAAGCATTGCATGTACGAAAACAAAATATGTTACAACCTCTATTCCAATTTTAGCAGTGCACACTGAGAAGAAAACAATATGAGATATGCAGAGAGACCACTTAGGAGACAAGAGCAACCTATTTCAATAATGCATTCCCATCGCAAAACAAGAGGAGCTCCTTCCAAGTTGTGCATTTGGCTTCAAAAGGACGGCCCTAATTTCATTAGCGGACAATACAGGACCTGAGTTGGTGCCAGATGACTGAACCACTTACTCACAGTTCTGAGGTACGTCTCTCTGGATTAATGCTATTTTATCATTCATCTTAATTTCAGTCTCTGATATAAATCTTTTGGTTGATGGTAGGAATAATAATTTACCATGAAAAATGACTCCCCAACTGTACTTCCTCAGATGATGAGCTGTATACAGTATGTTATGTTGATAAATATCACAGTTCCACATTATGTTTACTCAATTAAATATGTTAGATAGATTGAGATGTGGTCTTCATCTTTTAGTTCAGGTTATGAATGTTGATTTGAATCACATAGCTAGCATGTGCCTATAATAAACTCATTAAATGTAACTGTAAAGGATGTGGGGCAGCATCTAATGTGATGCTGCTGATTAACAGTGCCAGACTGTAGCTGTTTAACCACACTCCATGATTACATCATTCAAAGTCTTCCAGGGTAAAACTGCCAAACAAAACATACAATAGATCTATATAATCCCTGTATTATCATGACATGTTGAATAGGCTATGGTTAAATATGAACTGGAGGTAAACTGTAAATAGTTTCCAGAAAAAATAAAATGAACAGCAACTTAAAGAGTTAATGTAAAATACTTATATTACTTGTTGGTTTTGTATTGATGACAAAAACATTTCATGAGCTTTATCCTTTGACTGTACCAGTTCATCATGTACCTATGAGTGAGCTATATGGATGAAATATTATATGCAACATTGATATAAGTTCACATAGTACATTTTCTTAAAATGTAATCAATCAAACTGTTTATCCTGCTTGTGGATCGGGCAGCTGCGGTTCAGCAGGTAAAGCCGACCCCCAGCATCTCTGGCTATAAGACTATGCAAATCTCTAACCTTAGCCGTTCCTAAACCTACATGGACCCTGCAGACACTTCGGAGCTCGGAGCTTAAATCAGCCCAGTGGTATGGAGGAAAGCTGGTTGTTCAGTTGGAAGATCCACACTTTTACCTAGAGGAAGTCACCAAGGTATTATTTTCCATGTAGCAGCTCCACAATTATTGCCAGGCCATGTCTATGGACGCAAAACTCTCCTTTGTATTGTGGCTGGTATCTTCCAAATCCTGACAAATTTGCTTCTAGGATTGGTGGACATTTTGCTGATGACCTCAACCAACATCACGTGGCTAAACGTAGTACCATTCCTTAACCTGTCTCTTCTGAGCCTGTCTTTCCTCGCTGCCTGGAGGCTCCAAGTGCCTGTCTACGGCTTCCAAAAGCTTCAATAGTGCTTTTGAGCGCCCACCCTCTCCCCAGCACAGTCACATCCTAGCCCTCTGCTTGCTTCCCTTCCAATTAACCTTCAGCCAAAGTCTCTGCCAGAAGAAATAGTGTTATGCATCAATCCTGGATTGAGACTTTAAGAGATTGTATTTTGACCTGTGAATATGCTGGAGGGCTGGATGGTGTTGAAAGAAAAGGAGAAATCAATAAACATGAGTCTCCCCATGCTTCCAGGGTGCATGCATTCAGCAACAATGCTATCAGTCAGAAAGGGGGACAGGTACACAGCATGGGTGAGCTAAATGGGTGGTGGTAGTGGGATCTGAGGACGTTGGTTCAGCAGGTAATCCTGGCACAAAGAGGGGCAAAGGGAGTGGTCTGGGGCCTATGTCCACATTAGAAGGCAGGACTTATTTGCTTCATCTTTACCTGGATGCTACCTATCCCAATCCATGCTGCTTTCACACTAAGATTTATTTTCCATTCATGAAGGTCATATCTACCATCATTCCACTATGATGTGATTTCAGTAGAACAGCAGCAGTTCAAGGTGAAGGCTAATTGAGCTAAATGGAGAGTGTGACCATTGTTGAGCCCCACGAGGGCCCTTTATTCTGGGCCACATCTCCAAGGTGTGCAGGAGAGGACAGCAGCCATCCACTCCCATTTTCAGTAAGCCAACAGTGTTGTCCTGCTCCAGTAAGGTCACTGTAATGTCCTTTATGCAGATGAAAAATTACATGTTCACCTGTGCTTATTTAGCTGTACGGACGCTTTGTGTAAAACATAATTAATATCACTCCCTAAATGTCGTGTTCACAAATTCTAATGCCAGCAAATAAATGGCGATGTTGTTGTTGTAAACAATAGACTATTGATTAAGCTGATGATCCTATTTATGTTTCCATTTAGACCAGTTGTGCCTCATCAAGAGCCCCATAGTGCAAAATAATGGCATATTTCATTATTTCCCATGGTGTAAATAATGAAATATGCCAATAGAGAGCTAATCCCTCTAAATATAAGCTCCACTAGAAATTAAGAATTCTGTCCCTGCTGTGTGCTCTCAGTTGCAAAGGGTGGGATCAGCATATCTTGACAGCCAAACACTTTGAATCATGACTGGGTGAAGGAGCAGCTCAGAAGTCAAGGGGGAACAAGTGCACGCTGTACTTTGGTAACTACAACTCATCAAAAAACACTAGGTACATCATGTCTTCCTCTAACCAGGCAGAAGGTGTACATAGTGTTCTTCTTGGAAAACATTAACATTAAAACTGGATGTTAAGAAAAGTTCCATCACTGTCCAAGTGTCCAACTAGGATTTATTTTTTTCCTCAAAAATGGACCTGATAGAAAGCTAAATCCAGCAGCTGAAAGTCACTACCACAGCCTTTGTTAAATCAAAAATGAGAACATGAATGAAATCTCATGAAAAACAATCGCGGCCCTCCCACTTGTTGGCGATACTTATTATTTAGTCACAGACAGGATGAGGACAAGCAGGGAAAAGTCCACAGACTGACGTAAAATCACCATTTCATCTGTCCCCCGTGCTCTGCCACTTTAAGTTGTTAGACGCTGAAAGGCTTGCTTTGCCTTTGCCGTCAGATCCTAGAAACAAACAGGTGGTGATGGTCTTTGTGTGCTGTCATCTCTAATTCAGCAGCAATGGAATCCCTTCGAGTAACAAGCATCAAACGCAGCTCCAGCAACTCAAAGGGCCAGGTTAGATGATGCACAAGACACGCTTTTCAATGATGCAGCCGCACTAAAGATGTTACGGGGACGCACACACTTAATTTACAAAGGAGGTAATAGACATTAATCAGCTGCTGTTACTTCTCCACTCCCTCCCTTATAAACACACAGTCTATTTACTGAGTCTAGCCATGTCTTGCCTTCACCCATGTCAATATAACAATTGATTTTTGAGAAAACTCAAAGTGAAAGAAATAAAAAGAAATGCTTCGAACAAGACTGCTAGGGACTCACTGACTAACTGACTGACTAATCCAATGTGCAGAATGAATCTTTATTACCAGATCAAATGGAAGACCTATGACTAACCTGTCAAAGTAACAGAAGACATACACCAAGTAACCAGAAAAATAGAAACACCTTTACGATGCAATAAAATAGAACTGCAATAAATTCTACCTTAATCCATCATATACATCAAACTACAGCCTCAGAAGTGACCATAAAGTAGAATCAATGCCACAACAACAAATAAAAACCAAGGATGGACTCATATAATAGCAGAAACAAATAACCACAACAGCAAAGTGAGAATGAGGGAAGTAAGACTTAGTAGACCACAGCATTAGACCAAATGCACTTAAACTACTTAAAAAGCTACTTTGTCTTAAAGCTAAATATTTCCAACATCCAGCTTTAATAATTGCATTCTGGAGTCGGTTGTAAGTGGTTATTTTGCTTCCTCTTACAACACTCCTTCAGACGTCTTTAGTGATGGAAGATAGGTGGGCTGATGCACGCACTGTTTTGGCAACTGATTTCCACCCCACTGATAAGAAACCACAAAGGTCGGGCAGAGGAAACACCAGATCAACAAATATATTTGTGACAATGCATCAAACCTTTATGGTCCCAAGAAAGTTTGGATCAGTAGGTCTTGCTGTAAGTGGGTTGCACCTTCATAAAACACAGCCTTTTAAGAATTTGTTCCAAAACTGGAGATATCATGATTTATCGCAAATAATGTAAACCATTAAAACAGAGGCTGTCCTTCCTGGTCCAAAAAGCACAGCAAAGTCCATGGTCAGATCCAGGGTCAGGCTGAAGGGCACATTGACAACTGAGGGTAGACACCTGCTTTGTTGAGACAAATGAAGATACCAACCCTCTATTTACACTAATTAGAATCTAAACAACATTAAACCTCCCCGGATTATAGACCAAAAAAAACCTCTTGTGCCTCCGGCCTGTCTCACGTTGCCAGAGGATCCAGAAATCCTCACTGAGCTCTCCAATGAAATCGTTCAAGATCAGATTATCCAGATTTGCTTCATAACGCATTCAAATCGACGCATGGATGAAGCTGCTGGAATGACAACGGTTTACAGGCTACAGAGATTTTCTTTATTTTTTTTTTTGTTTTATCTCATTTCCCGCCTATTGGTGTAAATGTATAATAGTGCTGATTAATAATCCTTGAATTAGTACGCAATGCACACAGCATGCGGTCATGATGTGTCCTCACAGGTAAACGTCTGCAGCCTGTTTGCTGACACCCGTCTGGGCATCATGAACACAAAGCAACAGTCAAAACATTTGAGATGACACCTCCTTTGATCAAAACGTATTCTGTGAGCAGCACATTTTTACCTGATCCCCACCCCGTTACGTGTCAATAGCACGTCCTCCACAACAAGGTGATGTGAGAAACAGGAAATGTCCCCACTGACCTGAATCGTGCAGGTGTACTCCGAGTCGTCCAGCAGCCTCACAGTGCAGTTGCATTCCCTGTCCAGACTCCTGATGCTGCTGCTCATCAGTCGGCTCAGCATCTTCTCGATCGTCTGTGTACGGGACCGGGGAGAAGGGCGCACTGCACATACGTACAAGTTGGATCTTCTGTCACGTTAACGACGTCCCCGTCCTCTGGTCCAACACCTGGTCAGCGGCAGCGAGTGTGCGGAGCGGCGGTGGTGGTGCATCGTTTTTACCAGTGTGTGTGAGCGCTGGCTGGCCGAGGTACCCGCACGGTGCGTTTCGTTCACTCAGCGAGGAGTGGAGATAGTGGTGGTGCTGCTGCTGCTGCTCTCTCTGGTCCGGTTAGACTGTCACCCCCCACCACACCTTCTCCCCTCCACCCCGTCTCCTCGCCGTTGCCATGCCGCTCTGTGCTGCTGGGCGGGCTGAGGCTGGTGAATGGCGAGTATGTCAGCCAACGGAGCAGTGAGTGAGATGCTGCCTTCACAGAGTTAACGACTGGAGGCGACATTCCGATAGGCTGGTGCCGGTCGTGACTAAAGCCACATGGTTGGGAATAATAACACAGTGGGGGGGTTGTAGTTTCACAAGTCAGACAATGGACGGGCGCTTTGTGCTGCTGTAGAAGTTGATGGGACTCAATGTTGCTCTGTTCTTACTTACAATGTAAAATTAGAGACGGGCGAAAATAGACTCAACTGATTGATACATATCATTTAATGTTATGTAGATAACTATAATTATCACCTTACTATAAACGTCTCAGTAGCCAAGCATGAGCCACATTTCCTCATTTACCACTTGGCTCTCGCTCCTTGCTTAGTCGCGATATTTCCGACAGAGCGTGAAGGCAGCAGTACATTTTAACATTGTTTCATCCACAGGTTGATCTTCTATATACTGTCGATGGTTGATCCCCTGCCATCCTACTCAACACGACGCAGAACAAATAGAAACAGTGTTTCCAACTGATAGCCTATTACTGTTATGTATCATGTAACCGGAGTCACTTTGATACAAGAGCCAATTGTAAAGAAATTCAGGCCTGCTCTAAAATAAGTGTGTATGTAAGCAGATATCATGTAAAATAATACACATCATAGCGTGACGTAATCAGGACGCAATGCATCTCTTGCAGCTTTCATCTTTTGTTTAAAAAAACCCCACAACTAATTGTTTTCTAGCAGCAGTCTCACTCACATTCACTCGACAGCTACCCAGCAGAATGTACTGATCGAGCTCTATTCAACCCTAATGGGGGTCGATGTCTTATGTCATGTAAACGCCCCATCTTGACAGTTTCTGGGAGAAGTTGCTGTCACGAAGTCCTTTAACATCCTATTTGATTACTGCAGGGATCGACCAGCCTGTTAAACTGAATGGTCTCTCGGTTTCTAGGACGGTGTCTCCCTCTGGCGGTTCGTTTAGGGTAATGACAATTAAATGAGTAAAATTGGCCGTTTTAAAATATTTTCAGTTGTATTTTTCAACATCCTGAATTTAACGTTACCTCGTAAGGTTACCTATCAAACTTTAGTCGACCACCACAATATGAGTTTTTTATTTATGTTTAAAGGATTTCCATTATGTTACATTTCCATGTCGGAAAGCGGATACTGTGTGACCAGTAGCTATATTATATATTATATATCATAACCGGGTTTTTGCCACAACATTACTAGCAAAACACAACTAAGAGCTAGGACGCTAAATGTCCAAGACTCAAAAGTGAACTCATCTGCCGTGACATTGTACCACAATGCCGTGACCCGGATTCGAACCGGGGTTGCTGCGGCCACAACGCAGAGTACTAACCACTATACGATCACGGCGAGCTACGATGAGCTGCTGGGTACAGCGGAGTCAAAATTTGGTGTGATTAACACGACAACACATCGGCATTACTTTTACATGGAGACCTGTTGGTCTGCAGAGTGAATACTTCCTTTAAACCTGGATAGTAGATCTAGTTCGCATAGAGCCTGTACATTTATATCCAAGTAGTCTATCTGCCCATAACCACATTTTATAATATATTTGATACATTTAACTAAGGTAATTTCCAGCTGGGTAAACTTTCAGATGAATGGTCCCCTAGTAGTAAACTACAACGGAGAGTGAACCCGTATCTCCCAGATAACCTCTGTCAGTAACATAAGGTTATTGTAGCATTATTTTAATTCACATTAATCTTTACTATTGTTTCCATTACAGCGCCATCTGGTGTACAAACTAACAAACTGCTACGTGTGGCTTCATCAGCTCCCCTCTGGTTGGCTGGTTTGTCTGCAGACGTAGCAGAGCTTCCTGTTTTGTGTAACACGGTCAATGTGCTGGTTACCAAACACAAGTTTCTCAGCACAGTACCGATCAATGCGGAGTTGTAACTGCATTAAGGAGCAATTAAGGTAAAGTTTCTCTTCCTAACTCTGCATCATCTGGCGTTAATTTAAGCATGTAACCCATTGACGCGGAGACATTTTGCTATCTTATTGTTGGTTTGCTGTGTTAGGTTCTGGACATTGTTTATGCAGCTGTACATCTTGTGGGTCTGTGAATTTGAGTCGATGCCCAGAACCTCCAAATGTATCCTTGTCGAGCAGTTTTGGGAAATGTTAACCCATACTGTTTGAACATGCAGATAATACTGCTCTTTATGTGAGGCCACTGGGAATCTACTACTCTCTGCACAGAATAAGGAGGAAACGCACAGAACAACCAAAGTGTCACATAGTTTACAGCCCAGACCACCTTTTGGATGCAATGTCGGTAACTATGCCCATGTGCCTCCTTTAGGGATCACAGTGGAATAAAAAGTGTCTGTGATTGACGTGTTCACAGGCATGGTTCATACGTGTATTCACTGGTTCCGCAAGGGACTCAGGCTGCATGACAACCCAGCACTGATGGCTGCTCTGAGGGACTGTAAGGAGCTCTACCCTGTGTTCATCCTTGACCCTTACCTCCATGACAACACCAGTGTGGGTATCAACCGCTGGAGGTTTCTCATTGGAGCCCTCAAAGACCTGGATGGCAGCCTCAGAAAACTCAACTCCAGGTAGAGACACAGGGACAACATTCAGATATATAGAAGTTAAAAACAGTTGAAAACAATTTTTATTTTAAATGCAATCATTAAATAATATATTGTCTCATTATGGTCTGTTGGACTCCTTCAGGCTGTTTGTTGTGAGAGGGAAGCCAGAGGACGTGTTCCCCAAGCTCTTCAACAAGTGGAAAGTAACAAAGTTGACCTATGAGTACGACACAGAGCCTTACAGTCTGAGCCGGGACAAAACAGTGACCACGCTGGCCAAAGAACACGGAGTCGAAGTCATCTATAAAATCTCTCACACCCTTTATGATATAGACAGGTATTACTCATGCTGAACATGCACACCTATTTGGGTATTCACACTATTTGTGTTTCCTTACAGTTTTACTTAAATCCTATTTTTACTTCTAACTTGTTTTGTTTTATGGTTTTTTTAAAGACTACTGCCTTATACTCTCTGTCATGTCTGTATAGGATAATTGAGGAAAACAGTGGCAAGGCTCCCCTCACGTATAATCGTATGCAGGCAATAGTGAAGACTCTTGGTCCCCCTAAGAAACCGATCCCTGCTCCCACAATGGAAGATGTGAAAGGTACTACGAACAACTCTCGACAATGCCAGGGAATTATCATAATGTCTTCAGATTTACACCAATTAGTTTAAAATGTCTGAAAATCTAATCTAGGGATTTATTGAAATGTATCTCTTCTGTCAAAAGATGTGAAGACCCCTTGTTCAGAAAACCATGAGAAGCAATATGGGATCCCTCTGCTGGAAGAGCTCTGCCAGGACACTGCAGCTCTTGGAGAGGAGAAGTTCCCAGGGGGAGAAGAGGAGGCTCTGAGGAGACTGGATGAACATATGAAAAGAACGGTATTTCAGCTTCATACACATATATTCTCTTACTCTGCACAACTGAAGGATGTGAATCATCGAAAATACTTTTTGACACTGAAATTCACAGCAGAGATGTATAGAAATAAGAGATTATCTAAGAAAATCCAACCAACATCCAACCCAGCAATAAAGAATTCTTCATTGAACCTTGGTGTTTGGACAGAGACACATATGTGCTCTGTGTGATTTACATGTTGTATCTGTTTTCTTACTTCAGGGATGGGTGTGTAGCTTTGAGAAGCCACAGACGTCCCCAAACTCGTTGACCCCCAGCACCACCGTTCTCAGTCCGTATGTCACCTTTGGCTGCCTGTCTGCACGCACCTTCTGGTGGAGGCTGACAGACGTCTATCGGGGGGTGAGTGTCCCCATCATGGTGCAGGTTTTATAGGTAGTTTTCTACGCAATGAACAAGGCTGCATAACTGATGGTCCATAATGGTATTCTAACTTAAATTTTTAATTAAATTCAACAATAAGAAAACTAACTTTCAAATGTATGTATGGCATTTGTAGAAGAAGCACTCAGATCCTCCAGTTTCCCTGCATGGTCAGCTGCTGTGGAGAGAGTTCTTCTACACAGCTAGTGTGGGAATCCCTAACTTTAACAAGATGGAGGGCAACTCTGTATGTACCCAGGTGGATTGGGACACGAACCCCGAATATCTGGCTGCATGGACAGAGGTACTTGTGTGGTGTTTGAAATAGAGGTGAATGAAAAGAAGATGTGTTGTGCTTTTGGAAGAAGAGTTTTCATGATAATTCATTAGGATCACTGTTAATTAGAGATCATCTAATTTCCTGTATCATAAATATTTCCCATCATCCTCCATGTTTTGCCTTTCCCTTAAGGCTCGCACTGGTTTCCCATTCATTGACGCCATCATGACTCAGCTGAGGCAGGAGGGCTGGATCCACCACCTGGCCAGACATGCTGTTGCTTGTTTTCTCACCAGGGGAGACCTCTGGATCAGCTGGGAAGAAGGGCAGAAGGTTTGTAAACAAGTTTTCCTTTATTGCTACTGTAGATTAAGTTAAGCAGTATGTCATCTTTATCAAAGAACAAGCACAAAACCATCCAGGCCCATGGTGCATGATCTTTCTAATCTGAACAATAATTTAAACTAACTAGACTAATCTTTAATGAGTGCATATAGATTTGATACATATCGGTTTGGCACTGCAATACAAACTACTGTTAGAAATATTAACAGTTGAAATAATCAAAGCAAGTTGGCTAGAATCAGAATATAGTCCAAAAAACTGTCCATTGTGAGTCTGACAGCGTCATTGAGTGTAATGCAAAATTGGTGGAATAGAGCTCTAACATGTGTTCACTGCTCCTGAAGGTGTTTGAGGAGCTTTTATTGGATGGCGACTGGGCTCTGAATGCTGGGAACTGGATGTGGCTCTCAGCAAGTGCCTTCTTCCACCAGTTCTTCAGGGTCTACTCCCCTGTTGCATTTGGCAAGAAGACAGACAAAAATGGAGACTACATCAAGTAAGATCACAACCCTAAAAGGCTCAAGGTATCAAAAATGGTACGAGTATTATTATGAAATAATTTTGCCTCTACTCTACTTTAAAGAAAGTACCTTCCTCTTCTGAAGAAGTTCCCAGCTGCATATATCTATGAGCCTTGGAAAGCTCCACGCAGTGTCCAGCAGGCAGCAGGATGCATTGTGGGTAAAGACTACCCACATCCTATTGTGCAGCATGAAGTGATCAGCAAAAAGAATATCCAGAGGATGAAGTTAGCTTATGCCAAGAGATCCACAGACCCTGCAGAATCACCAACCAAAAAGCAAGGTATTGTAAGAAACACAGGCTTTTATAGGAGGTTTATCTAATTGGCTGTTAGTCATGTTTACATTAAATCCTACTGCTTCAGTATTTCTTTTTATGTTTTCCTCTTAGGGGTTAAGCGCAAGGCACCATCTGTCATCGACATGCTGACGAAAAAAGAGAGAAAAAAGTGAAGCTTGCACAAATGGCAGCATTGAGTTTTTGTGTAATCTATGACTGTTTATTACAACACAAATTAAGTGAATACACAGGTTTTGGTGTGCTTCCAGTGCTGATGCTCTATTTGGACTGGAAGAGGTCAGTCAGACACTCTTGTTTATGTGTTCAGGCAGTCTACTGTATGTTCTTTTTTAATACACCCGTCATTAGTACCATTTTCTATTTTGAATACTTTTTTGTCTACTTTTTATATTATTATTATTATTGTATTATATCTATTTCAGTGTTTAGAAGTAATGGGTTAGGTCAGAAATATACTTGAAGTTTTTTGCATGGGAATAAAATAAAAAATGCTAAAGATTGATGGTCTCATCTTGTTTAAAGGCATCA